TGAGGGGTCAAATTAGAATATTGAAAACTAAGAAATAACCCTAGAGTTATTTAAATGGGTTATGGTCCCCATTTGTAAAGTAGGAACAAAAATAAGGTTTATCAGGTTTTCTCTCTTGATCCCCATCAGAGGAGATTCAAGAAACCCTAAGGAACTCTACAAATCGGAAGATCACATACCCACAACCTTCAACGATTTAAATGGCAAATTTAGGTACGCTTCCGCCTTCATTCTCTAATTGAATTTTGGTATGGGTTTAAGGGTTTATAGTTCTATTGTTGATTTCTATATCGGTAGAAATCATAAGGTTTTGAACGGGTCTATCATTTATATCCCGTAAGGATCTTTCTACTTATGATGCACTCTTGGGTAAATTATCGTCTTATTTGCTTTGATCGTCATAAGAAGTTACTCATTAATGTCATATTTCTTAATGCTTAGAATAAGAATTTTGCTTACCCCTATTGTGATCCTGAAAGTCTTTGGAATTACATGTTTTGTTTTTGTTCTCGTTTCCGTTTTTATTTTGTTTTAAAATTTAAGTTAGAATTTTGCTCAAGGTGAAAAAGTTCATGTGTAGGGGAATTTGACCAGGTAATTTAATACACCCTATTTTACTTTGTGTTACGATAATTCTAGAGCTTATCACATTAATTATATTTCTTTTTATGTGTTGTTAAAGTTAGGTTTAAATTTACTTTTTATTTATTATTTCTATTGCTTATTTTTTGAATAAGTTGTATTTTGGCACCTTCTCATAGTGCAGATCATAACTTGGACTATGAAATTTTTTTGATGAGTTCAAATATGCGTTGGAAAGATAAGACAAAAATATATAAGTTTAATATTAATTTCAGAAGCAATTTCATAATACATAGGAGTCAAGTTATCAATTTTTATCCTAGACTTAATAAAAATTAATTAGTTAGTTTTGGGACAAACTTATATTTTTCGGGCTGGTGCTCTTAGAGCTCAATCATCTTATTACTTAATCTAAAATGAAACATTAGGGATTTTACATACCATTTTTTATGATTTGAGAAAAAAGAGCGTCAGGATTTCACGGTCGGCTAAACAACAAGTTTAATTTGCTGTTTTGGAATTTTGCAAGACTTTGAGATTATTATATTGTCTAGTTTTTATTCAACTTCTTTTCAATTCTGTTTTTTGTATCTTGTTTTCTTAATTCAAGTTTCATAGGATATGTTTGATTAAATTTGATTGATTTATGTTCCTTAATCTAATCACGTGTTAAACCTACCTTATTCATTAACTTCGTCTTATCTTTAATTGTCATGCTTAATGCGACAAATATGAATATAATTCATAAAATGTTGATAACGCTTGTTTAATTAATGTTATAATTAAATAAGAATTAAAATCCACTAGGTAATTGACAATATAATAATCATTGATAAGTCAGAAATGATCGAACCCGTAGATTAATCTTTAATCATACTCATAACTAACTATTTTTACTTTCAATTGTCTGAAAACCTAAACCCTTGATAATGTGAAAACCTATCATGTTTATTAGGCTCAAAACGTTTGATTCCACATTTATATTACTTTGTTTTTATTATGTTTGCGTCGTTTTGTGTTTGTTTTGCAGCTTTGTGCATTTGAGGAGTAGTTCGAGCGAGGTTGGTAAAAAGAAGAGCAGAGGAGAAGATTTTGGGCGGTTCTTGCACAATGGCGTTCTCCATCCCTTAATGGCGTCCGCCATTGTCAGGGGTGCCACGTCAATTAATGAGGAAGGAAATGGTGTTCGCCATTCCCTAATGGCATTCGCCATCATCATGCAGAACCAGAATTTTGTGAAAGCAGTTGAAACTCCCTTTTCCCACTCCTTTATTTTTCTCCAACTACCTTTTGCACGTCCTGGGGAGTTACAGGCTCTGGTTAGTCTATATATTATGTAAAGTGACAATAACTCACATCGAGGTATTGTCACAAGAGTTCTGTTTTTTTTTTGTATTCTGACTTCTTGTACTCTTGGATCGAAGAAATCTTGCCGGAATAAAGTTATTTTCTCCAGTTTAGTTTCGTGCAAATTTATTTACAGGTTTTTGTTTACCGTTTTCTTTACTTTAGCAAAATTGTCTTATTCTTTTACTTGTCATTATGTTGTCTTTAAATTTAAATGCCATGACTATGTTGTTTCCGTTTGAAATAATATGTTGCTAATTTTTTCCGAGTCCAACGTATGAGGACCGTCGTTACCAATGAGACTCAATAGAAAATAATAGGTGTGAAATTGTGTTTAAAATTCTGTTTTGGTTTTAGTTTCCAATTGTATGTTTTATTGTTTCGTCACGAGAGTGAGTAGCAAACTAAGGTTCGAACCGATAGCGCGAGAGTGTGAGGATTGAACCAAATAGTGAAAATTAAGCATCGATCCTAAAAACAGCGAGAGCGCTTTAGGTATCGATTAGGATCTAATTGATTTTCAAAATATGCTTTCTAATTAAAACGGGCAAGCGAGAGCAAAATTTTGTGGTTAGGGAGTGTGATTCAATCAATAGCGCGAAAGTGTGAGAAAATGCCTTTAAACCAATATTTTCTACATAACGCATTTAAGCATAATTAGTGCCTAAAATCTACGAAGTCTCTTAGGAATACGAAATACATATTCCGACCTCCTTTTATGATAATTCTCAAACTATGGTTAATTACGTTTTCATTCCCATCTTAACCTTTTTAACCATAGTTTTAGCTTTACATGACATCAATCAATAACGGTAAATTGATTATTAGTCTCTGTGGATTCGATATCTTTTAAAACTACGTGATAGACTGTATACTTGCATTTAGGTTTCGTTAGACTCGTAAAGTCGCAATCAACCCTCATTCATTTATTTATTTCGGTTAAATTAACACAAAATCTTTATGATACGAATCGAGTGTCTCTTACTTATACTACTCTTTATTAACTCGTTTTTTATTTGTTTTATTAACTCGTTTTTTATTTGTGAGTGAGAGTGCATCAATAATTCGTAACATTTTTGAGAAATTTATTTTTTACTATACTTTATCTCTTAGTGCTTGCTACTTTACGGTGATGGACAGTGGGTTATCTTAAAGGAATTAAGGATGGCTTTTGATCAAGGATTTAAATATATTGTTGTTAAATCTTACTCAAATGTTAATGAATTTGATTCTTGATGTGTGTAATGTTACACGTCTCTTCTTTCTGATGATTCATCATATCTACAATTTACTCAAATATGATTTTTGACAAATTAAGATTCAACTATTGCATAAATTAGTAAAATTAAAAGGTTAAGGGTAAAATAGACATTTCACTTGAAAGAGGGTAATTAGGATATTCTTAACGGATTATAATATCATTCTAAGTGTAATTAAGAATAATGAAGGTCGATCAGAATTATTAAGACATTAATCATGGTTTTGTGGACAAAGGATCGTTGGAGAATTTTTATTAATGTATGGGCATTTTAGTCAATGCACATAAAATATACTCTTAAGTTATGAGTATAATTCAAAATCGGGTGCTAAGTTAATAAAATCGCGAAATTTGAAGAGGAACACAAATGAACTTATCATTCTTGGTTCAATAAGGCCTTAACTTCATCTTGGATTTGAGTAAGACAAGTACTTCTACTCCACCATTTTAAAATATGTACTAACTTCACCTAAAATATTTTAAAATGAAACTAACACCCCCCTCTAATTTTTAGTGACAACCAAAAAGTATAAATATATACATTATTAAAAAAAAAAAAATTTTTTAACATCATTTCACTTCGGCTAAAGTATTCAAAGTGGTAGAATCTATTCATTTAGGTGTTTTTCATTATTTTAATTTTAAACTATTTTTTACAACCGTAAAAACTTTCAATCTTGGTAAAAAATGGTGTTTGGTCATGAGTTCGAATCCTAACACCTAACTATATGGAATATCAATATCATTTGACTAGAACTCCGAAATGTTGAAAATATGTAGCAGCACTTAAACAAAGAAGGTTCAATTCATCCTTACCAATTATTATACATTGGATGCAATAAGAATTAACGGTGAATTTCTTTCGAAATATTTTGAATACCTTAATGTGAATTGCACAAACACACAAAATTTATCTTTTAATAATAGTTTATAGAAAATTGTTTTTTATACTTCACTCATGCATTAATGAAGTAAAAAATAATTTTAAGAATAATTAAAATGGTGAAAAATAGATGTAAATATTTCTATTTTTATGTTTTTTTTTATTTTTTAAATGTATCTATTTATAGAAAAATTGACATCAATTGATTTGATGGTAAGGTGCTGGTTCATTTGTTAGTAGGCGTGCGTACGAGACGCGGGTTTGAGACTCATTTTTGTACATTTTTGAATTTTGTTTTAATTACACTTATTAGTAATTAAAGTAACCAAGTTGAGAATCAAACTAAAAACCTCTGCAATGATCAAAACCTTCATTCCATTAAACCATTTTGATTTAATTGATATAATATTATTTGCATATATATTTATTATTTTTGAAATTCAAACTTTTCAAAAAATATTTTAAAAATCACTCACAGATTTTTTACAATGACAATATATAATAATTAATTTCATATATAAATATGAATTTTTTCTATTTTCTATGATTTAGTAAAAATATGAGTCCTACATCTAAAGACAAATATAAACTCAATTTAGAAGAGAAAAAGTAAATAATTGATTCATCTATGGTAGATGAACAATGTATATAAAAAACAAATAGTTGATATCGAATATTTAATATAACTAGGTTTAAAAACAAATAGTTGATGTCGAATATTTAATATAACTAGGTTAAAAATTGAGTAAAACTAATAAATATCAAATATTTAAAATTTAGTACTCAAACTATAAACATTTTATATTAAATATTCTAAAATAAATTAATAGCATAACTAAAGGATACGCTATTATGTACTAGTTGAGTTGTGGATGGTTGGGAAGATTCTGGATAGTTCTGGATGGTTCGGAAGGTTCTGGATAGTTCTGGATGGTTCTAGAAGGTCATGACTTGAGTAATCGTTCTTTATATGAAGACACATTGATCTTCTTAACTTCACAAACACCCTTCACATTGCTTCCATTAACAAACTCTTCCAAATCTCTCATGGATTCTTCTCTTCCATCCTTCAATTCTGCTTCTTCTTCTTCTTCTTGGGTTTCTTTCCCTTCTGTACCTTCGAAGAGGGTTTCCAATGAAAACATGCAGGAGTTCTTTTACTTGCAAAACGGAGGAGACTGTGGACTTGCTTTACTGAAGAATGCTACCGTTTTTCTATCTACATTGACTTTCAATCCGACCTTTCTTTCTGCTATCTCTGTCTTGCTTGTCACGCAATCAACCAAAGTTTTCTTGAAGTTCTATAAGGAGAGGGAATGGGATTTCGAACTCTTGCTTGCTTCTCAAGGAATGCCTTCTACTCGCTCTGCATTGTGCTCCGCTCTCACCACTTCTGTTGCTCTCACTCATGGCGTTGCTGGTTCACTCTTTCCCATTTCTTTGGGACTTAGTGTCATTGCCATGTGTGATGCCGTTTCTGCTAGAAGACATGTTGGCTGCCAAGCTCTCGTATGTATATTATTCCATTCTTCAACTCATGAATCTTTATTAGTTTGTAATCTTTTGAGCTGAAAATTTTGTGTGGGTTGGACGCAGGCGGTTAATGGCCTTCTGGATGAATTGTTTACAGGACCTCCAGCTAGTGATGAGAAGATAGATGAAGATGTTGGTGACACCCTACCTCAAGTCTTCACTGGTGCACTCATTGGTTCTGCAGTTGCCGTTTTATGCTCTCTAGGTCTCAGGCTGCTACGAGGTGCAAACTATTTCCTGAAAAGAATCTCTTTTGTTGCCCTTTTCTTGATCAAACTGTATTCAATATTGATTCTGTCATGTATGCCTGAGGCTTTTTTTTTATGTGACGACTCTGCCACCCTTAACAATCTTCCATAACTTGTTTAGTTTTCTGCATGTTTGGTGGCTGTGAACTTAAGGTTTTAGAGTACCAAAAATAGCTATGTTTCCTCATTGATAGGTTTTCTCACAAATGACTTATTATTGTGTTTATGGCTGGACACAGGAGCTTAATATGAGTCAGGGTGACATGTTTCAAGGAAGCTAGAGGAACATGTTGGTGCGCTGCTTGGCCTTATTGTGGCTTAGTTTGGTGAATCTGTTATGTTTCCCCGTTTTTTGGATCAAGCTGTATTCAATACTGGTTCATAGTATACTAATTGCTCTTGTAATGTGATTAGCAACTTAATCACTGATCTATATTCTAGGACAAATACATGTTAGCGTCAGTATTATAATGAAAAAGATATGCTATTGATGTTTGATGTAAGTTCAAAGTTTTAATTTTGTATTTTTAGGCAATTTTGATTTCATTTTCTTCACATGGTATATGTTGTCACGGTACAATGTCCCTAAAGTGTTTTTAAATCACATTCACTAATCTTTTTCATTCAATGTCTTTCAATATAAAGGATTCAGATTTGTTCAGTCAGGTCATGGAGCAGTAATACAGTTTGTGTATTGCATGCATATGCTTTGATCGAAATTGGACGATGCACATTTAACACTAAAAAATGTAACAAAATTACTTATCATAATCGGATGGTTAATATTTACCATGCTTTCCCTATGTTAGACGAGCAAATTAAGTTTAACTTATTTTAACTTTCAGTTTTAAGCAACCAATTGATTTTGTTTAGTTGGATCAAACTGTTAAATCATTTGTGTGAACTCGGGCAGACATGCATTGTAGAGTCGCTCACATAAGTTTTCTCACGTTTTAAGAACCGGAAAATACGACAGGCAAATCATAAGAATAAGACTTTGGAGTACACAAAACATTAACATCACAGCAAAGTTGTAGCACATGACTCCACACATGCATCTAACATCCAAATAAGATGAGCTGTGTTGTATTGAGTCTCAACCTCCCTGCATAAATGAAGTCACGGACCAGAAAATGTGAACAAACCCATTGGTGCAAGTTTGCAATAAACCAAACAACCCAACAAGTCGAATAAACCAGAACCTATAATCAAGCATTTATATGTGGCCATTTAACTATGTTTACCTTTAGTTTATGAAGAAATTATTTTGACCAGAAAATTGTGTAAATGGCTGGACACTGGTGCTTAGTATGATCGTGGCTGACATGTTTCAAAGCCATCACTTTACCTCATGCATTTGCCGGGGTTCTGCTTGGTTGCTTAGTAGCATGCTTTTGCTTTCAAGGATTAGATGATTCTGTTATGGATCAATCTGTACGACAACTTTTACTCTTGAGCACTCAAGACTTATGCAATAATTGTGGAGTGGGAGGGAGTGATACCATTGAAAACTTTGATTTAATTATTTTCAAAACTCAATTACAAACTGAATGACTCTTCCATTTTATAGTGGAAGAGTATAAACTCCGCAATACACAGACTGTATGACTGCTCCATAGTCTGGATCCTTTATATTTAAACACACTTTTGGGACATTATACTGTGACACCATGCCAGGAAAGTGAAATCAAAATTGCCTAAAATGTCAAAATTAAACATGCAGATCTTTTTCACTATAATACTCTTGCAGAGAAGAATTTGTAGTAGAATATAGAGCACTTAAGTAGTAGCTATAGAAAAATAAGACCATAACTTTTATATAATAAAATAATGTTTCATAAAATGCAACAGAAAATCTAATGGTTTAGTGGGGAAAGATTCAGATAATTATGTTTTCGCATGAATTCGAATCCTATTGTAGATTTTTTTATAACACGATAGAAAATAGGTAAATTGTGATTGCATATTTCATTAAAATAAATTCTATTATTAAACAACAAAATTAATAAAAACTATATATATATATATATATATATATATATATATAATTTTAAATTATAAATTTTAATTAAATATTATTTTAAGAATAATTTAAATCAAGATTCGCCTTAGGCCTCTGAACGCATTGGGTCGGCCCTACTGCTTCTAGCCTCTCTTTAATAACTGGAAGTTCTCCGAACAATTCATCTAAAAGCGTATTAATCACTTGTGTCCACACAATTTTCAGCTCTTAAGTTTTCTTCATAACCAAAAGGTAAACAAAGTCAAAAAGACCAAGTCATCATTTGAGTAGCAAGAGATGTTTAAAATTTAAAATCAGATTGTTATAAAAAATACATGATAGTATGGATGAAGAAAGCTATGTTCATTACACACCAATAAAACTGGCGAATAGTTTAGGAGTAGAAGTAGACATTAATAATATGTCAGTTTCATGTACCATTATATTGTCAAGTTGACTCCTACTTGCACGCCAATCTTCAACCTGACTCCTACCTGCACAATATTCTTCAAGTTGTTACGAAAAATCAAGCGGTTGTGTGGAATAAAAATTGTCAATCGATGTTTGAAAAAATCAAGGGATACCTCCAGGAGCCTCCAATATTGATCCCTCATGTGCCTGGAAGACCTCTCTTCATGTACATGATTGTACTCGAAGAATCAATGGGTTGTGTCTTAGGCCGAACAGATGAATCAGGCAAGAAAGAGCACGCAATTTACCACTTGAGCAAGAAGTTCACCGATTGCGAGAGTCATTACTCTCCATTGGAAAAAGCTTGATGCGCTCTGGTTTGGGCGGCCAAACGTCTGAGACAATACATGATTTGTCACATTACTCTGTTGATATCCAAAATGGATCCAATAAAGTACATATTCGAGAAACCTGCTCAGACGGGAAGGCTTGCAAGATGGCACATGCTCTTGTCAGAGCATGATATTCAATATGTTGCACAGAAGTCGATAAAAGGAAGCGTCTTGTCAAACTACCTTGCTGACTCTGCCTTGGTGATCTATCAGCTCAAAGGCGAACAGGAGACCTGAGACGAAAAACTGGTTCCTTACAAGGACTACATCTTGGAGATGATTGAGTATTTTGACGAGATCACTTTCAGACACATCCCAAGGTCTGAAAATCATATTGTTGATGCTTTAGCCATGCTAGCATCAATGTGGAAGGTTCATCTTGTCAACGAAGCTCCTTTAATCAACATTGAAAGAAAGACTGTGCCAACATACGTCATAATGGCTGAAGAAGAGTCTGATGGAAAACCATGGTTCTATGACATCAAAAATTACCTTCAGAATCAAGAGTATCAGGTCGATGCCTCTAAAATTGATAAAAGAGTTGTGCGAAGATTGTCATCCAAGTTCTTCATTAGTAATGATGTTCTGCATAAAAGAAATCACGACATAGTCCTACTCAGATGTGTCGACAAAAGAGAAGCAGACATGCAGATGACAGAAATTCATGAAGGTGCCTTCGGTACTCATGCAGGCGGTTATGTCATGACAAATAAAATCTTGAGAGCTGGTTATTACTGGTTGACCTTAGAGACTGATTGCATCCTATTTGCCCAAAATACCATAAATTCCAGATTTACGTAGACAAGGTACACGTGCCACCACACCCTCTGAACGTGTTAACATCGCCTTGGTTGTTCTAAATCTGGGGCATTGACATGATTGGGGAAATTGATCCTAAAGTGTTCAACGGTCATCGGTTCATCCTCGTCGCTATCAACTACTTCACCAAATGGGTAGAAGATGCATCCTACGCCAACGTGACCAAGCAAGTGGTTGCCTGGTTCATCAAAAAGGAGATTATTTATCGTTACAGAATCCCTAACTAGATCATTATAGATAATGGGACAAATCTGAACAACAAAACAATGAAAGAGCTTTGTGACAGTTTCAAAATTAAACATCACAACTCTTCTCCTTACCGGCCTAAGATGAATAGCGTTGTTGAAGCTGCAAACAAGAACATTAAAAAGATTGTGCAGAAGATGGTAGTGACCTACAAAGATTGGCACGAAATGCTACTGTTCACTTTACACAAATATAGAACATTTGTGTGCACTTCAACAGGGGCAACCCCTTTCTCTCTGGTCTACGGGATAAACGCAGTATTGCATATTGAGGCTGAGATACCTTCGTTAAGGGTCTTAATGGAAGCCAAGCTCGAAGAAGCTAAATGGGTGAAAGAAAGGTTCGATACTTTGAATCTCATTGAAGAGAAGAGGATGACAGCAATGTGTCATAATCAACTCTACCAAAAGAGAATGAAGAGAGCCTTCGACAAAAGTATCCAGGGAAAGGAATATAAAGAGGGTGAGCTGGTACTCAGAAAGATTCTGCCAGTACATCGAGACATGTGCGGAAAATGGATGCCAAACTACGATAGCCCATTCATTGTGAAAACGGTCTTTTCTGGAGGCTCTCTGATCCATGCAACGATGGACGGTGAACAACTCCCTCATCACGCGAACTCGGATGCAGTAAGGAAATATTATGCTTAAAAACAAAAAGGGGCATCCCAGTGGGTCATAACCTATGAAGGAGATCCAGGTAAAAATTAGGGATTAAAAAAAAGCTCGCTAAGTCGAAAACCTGGAAAGGAGGCTTAGAGAACAAAAAAAGAGCAACAAAGGCATTTCACTACATGCGGAAGATCGTCAAAAAAGGGCTCACTTCCCGCTACTCTTGTTAGAGGCAGCATTTCAGACCGGCTCTTGGCCAGTTAGGATTGGATGATTGTTGGGTTTTTGTAAACCTTGACCTATATTGCCATTTTTCCAAATTGTAATTGTTCTATGGGACTTTTCCTTTTGCAAGTTTCCATCTTTGAATAAAATCAGATTTGGACCAATCGTTGTTTGTGCTCTATTATGCTCTACTTTTTTGTTATGCAAAATATCACTTATTCGTTAATAATGATTTTTTGAAAGCAAAAGTTTTTAAAAAAAAAAACAACAAAATTGTTTTAAATAGAATTAACAAGCAAGACGTAACTTTAATCGCGACATGATGGTGTAAATTTAGACTCCTCTCATGAGGACGAAATGGTTGAAACCTTGATACCATCACTAAGATGTTTTAGAGATTTTCTTCCCCACGCCGATGCGCTACGAAGTGTCGATATCTCTGAATAGTTATTATGTCCGATGTATTGAAGTTGTGACCTCTCTCCAACAAGTTTGCAAGAATAGGGATCGTTCCCCAGCAGAATCGCCAGAGGATTAAGAC